TGTGTGTGTGTGTGTGTGTGTGTGTGTTAGGCGTGCCCGCAGACAGGACCTGAAGCATGGTGACCCCCTCAGTCGGTGCCCAGTGGAGGACGGTGAGTTTGAGTCCTGTCGGACAAACAGACGCTCCAAATGCTGTTTGGTTCTGAGGGTCCAAATGATTTATTTACAACAATTAAATTCCACAATAAGAACATGATTGGTGTAAAATGTCTAAAAGCATTTCCTTTAAATTTAAACGCTAAAAAAGCAGGAAAAGCTGAGATTTCTGAGCTTTTTGAACAGAACAAGTATTTTCCGTCATCTAAAAACCTAAAAGCTCAGATTTTTTAGTGATTTTCCTTCATCTAAAGACCTAAAAAGCTGATTTTTCAGTGATTTTCTACAGAATTCCCCACTCAGATGTTCCTCCATTTAAATGGATCCCACACAGTATCCTCTCCTTTCTCAGGTCACATGGGACAGCAGCCCTGCTCCCATTGGCCCATTTGGATCAAATGTCTGAAAGCATTTTCCTTTAGATTTAAACAGTAGTGTCTGATAGCGTCTGCTATGAGGCCCAGAGGTCAAAGGTCAAAGAAAAGAGAAGGATCCTGGTACAGAAAGGCAGAACAGGAAACCAGGAGGTTAAAAACCTTTATAGCTTTTATTTTTTAAGCTTTGGCTCCCTCTGCTGGCCGCTTGGTGTAACTACACCTCACAAACTTCCCCCAAATCGATCCTAAATCGACCAATCTGTTTGATAACCGGGCTGTGAATTTCTACAGAATTCCCCTCTCAGATGTTCAGAATTATTTTAAAGTTGTAAATGAAAGATTTTTTAAAAATCAGTAAAATCGAAAAAATACATATATATATAACAATTTAATTCAAATAAATATGCTAAGTTAGTTTAAAGTTATAAGTGAAAGATTTTTTTTAAATCAGAAAAATAGAAAAACATTTAATACAAAATTAGATAAAAATAAATAAGCTAAGTTAGTTTAAAATTATAACTAAGAGATCGTTTTTTAAATAAGAGAAATAGAAAATAAATATAAAAATTGAATACAAAATTAAATAAAAATAAATAAGCTTAGTTAGTTTAAAGTTTAGATAATAATAGCTTTTATTTTTTAAGTTACGCTTTGGTTCCCTCTGCTGGCCGCTGTGTGTAACTGCACCTCACAAACTTCCCCCAAATCGATCCCAAACCGACCCAGCTTTTTGATAACGGGGCTGTGTGAGAGGTTCAGGGTGCGTGGGCCGTCTGAGTGCTGATGTTTTGCCTCCTGTGCCCAGACGGGGCCTCGGTGGGCGTGGAGCAGGTGTTCGGCGTGGAGGGGAACGCCACCTTCCTGGAGTGTGTTCCCCGCTCCCCGCAGGCTGAGATCAGTTGGACCCTGGAGCAGGAGGGCCGCCAGCAGCCGGTGGGCCAAACGCAGGAGGCCACGCAGGTGAGGAGAAATTCAATTCAATTCAATTTTATTTATATAGCGCCACATCACAACAACAGTCGTCTCACAGCTTTCCAAACAGAGCAGGTCAGACCCTACTCTGAAGTTAATTACAGAAACCCAACAATTCCCACCATGAGCAAGCACTAGGCGAGGAAAAACTTCCTTCCAGTTCAGAGGATACCCATCAGACCC